ACCTCAATAGGAAGGCCGATTTCTTCTGCAAGAGATCTCATTTTCGCAAGTCCCTTTTGGTAATTAGGACCTCCTCTTCGGACGTATAAATGCATTCTTGCAGCCTTCAGCTTCGATTCCTGTTATGAGAGGGAATTGTTTGGTTGTTTGCTTATTTATTCCAAAAGCTTTCCTCCTGGAGACTCTCTTAAAGAGGAACCTCACGTTGAAACCATAGAATTACGTTCGACCTTAAGCCTAATTCATTGCAAAAATCAAAGGTTCGACACAACTGGGATTTTTTTTCTTCCATTTTTTTCTGGGGATTGGATGTAGTTACTAATTCATAATCTGCCACATATTGAATGAAAAGTTCATTCTAGATTCTACGAGAAACGTATGTTCTTCATTACTTAATAAGGCCTATACTATAGAGCACAACTCCAGTTAATATTTGACAGAATTACAGCCATCTCTCCCTTTGTCATTTACTAAAGCAGGAATACAAAGGAATAACCCTGCTTGTCTATTATTAAATGAACGAATCCACAATAATTTTGCACCGTATTTTATCAGCCGATAAATATGAAGAAATTATACTGAAGTTAACATACCTTCTCCTTCAAAGCTCGAATTATGCCACTAAATGTAGAAGCAACATCAGTAAAATTGGCTATTCCACCACCAATTACAAGTGCTCGTTTACGACCATCAGGATCTGCAGTTGCACACTGTGTACAATATTCATGAGTTTTTTTGTCCAGATGGAGGGCATGTAATTATGATCTTAAGTATAAATAAAACCGTATTGATACTTAAGGAGGAGAGAATTTCTACATGTACAAATACAATGGATGACAATCTTGATTGATTCGTTGAAATAGGTTAGTTTTTTCTTATTAATGAATAAAATATTACTAGTTTTGAGAGTAATTATTACCCTGATGTCAAAAATAAGTAACTTATTTTCAATTTTCACCAATGAAAATTTAAATATTTTGGAACATACTTATTTACTTACTAGTGAACCTTTTAAGCTTAACCTAACATTCTCCTAATTTACAACTTCAATATGAAACAAGATGATACTCACGTCGATAACAACTCTGGCATACTGCAAGACCTCCTCTTCATTGGGAGCACCACTATATTCTGCATAGTTCCCCAACTCGGAGGCATAACCAAGATCTCCAACCTGATAAAGTGAAATAGCACATATTAGACTAATATAAAAAATGGAAAGAAACGAAAGAAATTAACTTTCTGAGCACAAGAAAATGGGGAAGACGAGGAACACACAGTATCTGCATAGATGACACTTGCGCCTCCTCCAGCCACCATTGTCCAAATTCGGCCTTTCGGGTTCAAAACTGTAAATTTCAAAGATGCACTAGTCTGCAGGCAAGGACGTAAGAAAGATTAATCTAATAAATTTGGAAAATATCTTTTATGGATATCGTTTAAGTTTCTACATAGTTTAGTAGAAGAACATCCTCTTCACGTTTGAAATTAAAATCTCTTAATAAATTTAACAGCGATTGGAACATTTTGTACAGTGATATATATACCTTTTCGTCTAGTCCATGAATAAATCTTTCTGTAGCACTCAAGACTCTTCCAAATGGCATAGGAAATTCAATATTTCCCCATCTGAAAAATAAAGTCATGTGAGAAAACAAGTGAAAAACTAATATGTCGGCACTGATTACACTGTTTAAACTAATCGTGCGGAAAATGGTAGCCGATTTGCAATCAACAAACGCAAGGAAATGATTACTTTTTAAAGTTCTTAAATGCAGCAGTATCATCGAGTTCGCCTCTCATATCCAAAGGATATGGCTTTCCGTCAACTAAGGTGAAAGGATTCATCTCAAGAAAAGTGAAATCCAAATCTGAGACATGAAAAAATTCAAGTTCATTACAATACTAAGAAACTACTTAAAAGTTAGGTATATTCAAATGTGAAATATTTTTGCTCGATCATACCTAAAAACAAAGCATAGATCACTTTGATGAACTCCTCAATGACACCTTTAATCTGTATTATGTGAAAGAAATTTAAGTAAGCAACTCTGATCTTACGGTATGGGAGCCAATGGAACAACGTCATAGATGGTATTTCTTTTAACTATAATACTTGAAAAAGTTTCACTTCTCAGTGTTAATAGACATAATACCTCCAAGGGAAGGGTTGCCACAAGTGGAGCACATAGCTCTGGTGTAAAAGATACGCCAGTTGGCACAAAGATTGTCTTCACCTGGATCAGAAGAAAAAGATATGTTGATATAAGAAAGGTTTTTCAAAGAATGTGATGCCTTTTGTGTTAGGCATTCAGCCCAGTTGTTAGAAATTAAGCCCTAATTCAAAACTCCGAGAGCAATAGAAACAAAACGGAATTAAAAAGCACAAATATGCACTGGTTCAGCCATCTCCACTTGGCGCTACGGTGTTTTCACTATGTTGGAGAAAAATGTACAAGGGCTATTACTCATGGCCCTCCCTGTCTAACATGAAAATGGCCCCTTAGGTCTTAATAAATCTGTTATAAAGTAGGAATATCAGGGTGGCCTGATATATATTCGAATTCTAATATACCTCTGAACATCACTGAGAATGACTGTTCATAGTTGAGATTTCAGTCCAAGTATGATTTATCTCCACAAAAAGGTCTATTATTTTGCTATCTTCATAATATAGAAGTTTCTTGAGTACCTTGTCCCAGTTCTCTTCGATTTCAATGCCTCCACATTCTGAAAAGCTGATGCTACAACCCAGCCTCTCAGAGACTATATTGAGGTAGAACTCTTCGTTGTGAGGAACAAATGGTTCAACAATGAAGGTCGTAATCGGTCCTTTGCATCCCCCCATCTCTACCTGTTAACCAGGAAATATGTGTAAGCAGAACGATCAAACAACTGTATACACAAGGAATTGAAGTCTAAATTATTATATTAATTTATGTATAAGATTACAGATTGATTTACTAATTATATAATATCTCAAATACCTCTTTGCCGAGCCGTTCCTTCACAAAAGCTGCAACTTCAGCCAGATCCAGGTTCAAGGCAACTAGACCGCTTTTTCCACGCTTTCCAAATAGCATATCAGGTTTGACAACCAATTTTGTAGATGAGAGCCAAGGTTCTTTGTCGACCAGCTCATTGAAATCAGTTGACTCGGTAACCTAAACCACATTGAGAAAGAATGTTACACTACTTCATGCAAATTAAGACCTAAATCTCCAAATCTTGCTTGCTTCATATGCAGAAGTGATTCTGATAATGCATTTTTTTCCTTTTCATAAATCAACTTATCACCTCTCCGACAATTAGTGCCCAGCTCGAGAATGGCCAGCTAATGCATTTTACTTATTGAACAGAATTCTATGATTGGAACGCAATATCTAACTGGGCATATTTCTTTGTCAGGTTAAACTGATTTTTTCTTTTTTTTTCCTTTTCTTCACCAATTTGCCATATTATTACTTTCTACCTATATCTTCTGTGGTTTTTCTAAATGTTGATTTGAGAAGATACATCCCCTAAAGGTCCTAGAGAGCTGTACGAAATTATATGCTATTTCCATAAACAAATGGAGCATGTTTGGTACGCAATACTTGACGCAGATAAAATTTTAACTTCTTTATGCAGCATACAAGACATGCCAACTATATTTTGCAGAAAATCAGATTATGACTGGGAAATGCTTTTTCCCTCCTCTCTGTGAACATTAGGCTTGCTTGGGAGACATTTTATTTCCCCAATTTTGACGGATTTTGAGTGGCACCATCTATGAGGAGTTCGAAAAAACGATGCTTACTAGTTTTTTGACTTTTAAACCATCTTTGACCGTTTCTGTCAATCCACCAAATCGATAGTTTTGGCCGTTACTCATATTTTTTTAAAATTTATCCACTATAAAATAATTATTTCCAATCAACACATTTTGTTCAAAACTAACTTGTAAAAAAAATAAATAAAGAAATAACTAAAAAAATATTTATAAGCAAAAAAATTACTTCATAATTAAAAATTTTACTTATAATTAAAAAATTACCTATAAGATAAAAAAAATTGGTTAAAAAATTATTTATAAGCTAAAAATATAACTAATAAGGAAAAAAAAATAACTTATAAAATATAAAAATCTGCTTATAACTATAAAATTCACTTATATATAAAAATTATTTAAAGTGCAAAATTAATTTATAATTCTAAAGTTTACTTATAAGTAAAAAAATAATAATAATAACTTAACATTTTAAGTAAATATTTAACTTTTTAAGTTATTATTAACTTATGCAAAAAATTACTTATAAGTAAAATATGACTTTCATGCAAGAAATTATAAATTTCAGAATCGTTACATAACAAACTCTCAAAAATGGGTTGGACTGTTTTAAAAACCTCTAGTAAAACCACTCAAAATCGGTACTTTAACAAACTCTCGTAATGGATGCCCCAAAACTCCCAAGCAGGCCCTAAACATTATAACTTCTATTTCTTCATTAATACTATCGAATCAACTCACCAAATGTGGCATAAAGATCTAATTAGTTATTTATGCTAGTTAGAATCATTAGAGATCTGAAAGATCTTAGATCGATGAGATGTCTTTTCCCCGTCTCAATATGAACAGCTGAAAAATATTTCAGAAATCATAATTACAACTTATCTACCCAGTGAAGCCAAAGATTATAACCAATCTTACGTGTATTTATTATCTTGATAATCATACAGAAATGATAGCCAATTATCATGAACTGAATGACCACAAATCACAGAATAAAAAAGAGAGACAAAAATTTAAAAATAAAATAAAATATAATAAAATAATAATAAGAAGAAGAAGAAGAACGAACTTGGGCAGATTTGACAGCCAATTCAGAACCAGAAAGCCTCTTGAAATGCTCTTTCAACAGTCTCTTGGAATCATACTCTCTGATCTTCTTCCTTGCCATTTTAACTGTCAAAAGTACTTCGAAATCCCTGTACCCATATAACAATCAAGAATCAAATCAATTCAGATCTGCTCATACTATAAAAATATAATGGAGAAAATGCAAAGAAAGTGGAGATGTTTACCGTCAAAAGAAGGCCCAAATGAGGATACAAGAATTTGTTGAACGAATACAGAGAGTAACAAAGCACAAATTGAATGATTGGAATTCTGCTATTTATAGTAAGAAATTTCAGCTAGCGGTTGTTTGTTAGGATAAATAAATAAACAAAATAAAATAAAAATGGGTGTTTAGGATTAATTTCATTAAAAAGGTTTTGAAACCGGTTATAATAAACATACATGGAATTGTTGAGTAATTAAGCCATGTTTGACACACATTATTTGAAAAATTAAAGATTTTTTAATAGCATTTTTAGAGAATTTGTGGTTAAAAAGTAAGAAAATTTTATTGATTTGTGCGTAAAATATTTTATTGTGTGAATGTGTGATGAAAAATGATACTATAGTAAACAATTTAAATTTTTAGAGGTTGTCAAATAGGGGCTAAGATAAAATTTGACTAAGTTTTATCGGTTGTGTTACATGTACACAATAATTTACCTACATATAATATGATGAGATATAATTTTATAAAAATTTCTTCAACTAAATAAAAAAATATCGTCACTTTCTTTTTAACACATCGTCTGTACATAAACAATTATGTAACTTCTTATTTGCAAGTAGCATCATTCAAGTTCTATATTGGTTGTCAACTAGACACAATCCTCACAGCTTCGAGATTGGTTATGACAGACCAAATTGTAAAAAATGTGTATTAAGATTAACTTGGAAGAAATTTACAAAGTTTGTGCTGCTTATCGACATACCGCAACCCTCATGTCGTTGAGATTTGTTATGACAAACAAAATGAGGAACAATAAACAGAGGTGTTTAAAGAAATGTGTATTAAGAATAAATTCACCCGAATCATCAAAGATTTATGTAGATAAACAACCTTCCACAACCCGCTTTCCATTAGGCTTAAAAGTAAATAATATTAATTTTAATTAACTTATAGTTTTCCTATATTACATTTTCCTTATTCGGTTATGATCATAAAAATATTTTATGTGAGTGAATTTTCAATCTTATCCAAATATGCAATAAGTGGATGTTTGGTACGAATCATATCATAAATATACTTAATTTTTTTTATTATAGAAATGGCAACTACCACTTAGGTGGACCTAATTGGTCAAAGTAATGATGCTATGATTGAAATTCATATGTTTGGATATATTGGTTGGTCCAAAAATTGGAACTTGACTACCACACTTGTTTGGTAGCATTGTGATTTCTTATTGGTCATTTTGACCTAAAAGATCTCCACTAGATGACACTTTTGGGAACATTTTAGAATAATATGGAAAACATTTTTTTTCAAATTTACCATTTTTCTTCAATAGACTATCAATTTAATACAAATATTAAATCGCAATTGAAACCATCATAAAAGGGTAAGTAGATCCACCATTGGCAAACTTCAAGCCTAGTTAAGCTTTGGTAATTGACACGTGGAAAAGTGATTAGGTTCGTCTTGTACAATTTCATGATTTTTACACAACTCTTTATGAGTACAATACTCTTACAAAGTCATTGGTTATATTGAGATCAAGTATAGACTGGTTCAATATTCATTTTGTATTTTCTCTAATTGAAAGAAGTTAATTACAAATTCTTCGTTTTTCAGCCAACCATTTATGACTGATAGGGCCACCGTTTACCACTGAAAAACTGATTAAAAAGCATGAAAAGTGAAGTTGAGATTGACTGTCAAAAATAGTTGTCCAACTTGATACTCGTCGTCAAATGATTCATTGACACATCATTTTACACATTTTTTTAATCACAAGTGACGATAACAAAAAAATTAGGCATGTTAATTTAAAATAATATGTCAATGAATTATTAAGTTGACAGTAAGTTAAATAGTCAATTTTGGACAACATATCTCAACTTAAAAAAGTTAAGCTTAAAAAATCCATAGTCAATAAGGTAAAACTGCTCTTTCTCTGTTTATTTTTTACTTTAATTCTGCACTTTCAATAATTCAAGTTCCAATAGAATAGAAATAAATTGTCTCTATTAAAATATTTTCAATTGTTTGCATTAAAATAAATGTATGTGTTATAGTTATTAACTTCGAATCGATCTAATCTAACATTCTTATGATTCTATTTAAGAGTGAATTCATTTGCTGCTAATGAACTACTTATCCATCGACGAAGCCAGAACCCGGCGAACACCGATGGTCGCTTGAACTGGTTTTTTTTTTTTTATTACCTTACAATCGATTATTTCATCACAAATTTTTCTTTTTTTCCATGTATTTTTTATAAAACCTTAGAGAGAGAGAGAGAGAGTTTAGGAGGCTCAAAGAAAAAAAAAGTGGGGAGTGCGTATAGTGATTATGTTAAGTTGTGGAGTCTAATTATTATCGATCCTAATTATTGTCACCTCACAAAACTGATTGGGAATCGACTTCCATGATGAGATCGCCCTGAAGATTTGGAGTGGAGTCTAAATTGTAGAAGATAGTTGCTCTTTTCACTACTGGGACTGAGTATGTTACGATAATTGAATCTAGCAAAGAGATGATATGGTTGCAGTATTTTCTAAAAAAGTGTCACAAGTATGGAAAGAGTGTTATATTGTGACAGTGAAAGCTCCATTCACTTAGGAAAAAATCCTATTTATAATTCACTGACAAAACATATGTATAGGTCTATTATCATTTCATCATATTGACTTTCGAAGATAGAATCTTAACACTTGAGAAGATTTGGGAGAGTTAGAATTCAGCTGACATGTTGACAAAGACTGTTCCAATCGAGAACTGAAGTTGTGTGCAACTTCAATTGGACTTTTCTTTTGAGTAATGAAGAGTTTTTGCCACTATGGAGGATTCATTGATGGTTGAATTAGTCTCCAAGTGGGTGATTATGTTAAGTTGTGAGCTTAATTATTGTTGTTCCTAATTATTGTCACTTCACAAGCAGTTCACAGATCAACCTTCGCTGTGAGGTCACTGTACTGGAGGTTGGAAGGGAGGCATGAGGCCCCACAAGAATAATAAAGTAATAATAAAGTGAATTGTGAGCTATCGTCCCACAAGAAATAATGTTTAACTCTAGTTAACTAGTTACTATTAAATTCGATTTCGTGACACAAAAAATGTGATTTTATTGTTATTTAAACTAATTATAAACTAATGAAGCAATAAAAAAATGTATAGTCAAGTATGTAAATGATTGTATTTAATTTTGAATCCCCCTCTTACTATTTATTTTAATTCTTAATTCGTAATATAGTGAGTTCCTTACTTTCATGACAATCAATAACATGAGTGTATTTTATTCTCTTTTCCAAGATAAATTAAGTCTATTTTAATCACGACCCAATCCTAATCTTAGTCCAAATTCATATGACCAAAATGCACTAAATTATAGGTTATTCATGTGATTACATATGTGATCAAGATTATTCTATCTATATATGTTAATTTTGCTGCATTCTAAACTTATTGTGAGTCTTTCAACACTACAACAAGAAACTAATTATTCAATTGGTGGCGAGTCAATTAAATAATGCAATGGGTTTATAAAATCAACCAAGAAAATCAAAAAATAAATAAATCATTAATCAAAATAAATATGTAATAGAGTTCATCATTCATCCAATACAATAGAAAAACTGGTTTAGCATTCTGATTATTAGATTATACAAGAAATATTGAAAAAAATCACCCGAAAAGAAGAAAATGGAGAAGTTCAATTCCTTGGTTTGAATCTTGTAAATGGACGAATATTTTTCAATAAACTTGTATAATCCGTCTTGATCTTAATACTTAGCCTCGTTCTTCACCTCCAAAATACATAGAATATAGATATTTTTATGTTTAAGGGAGGCCTATACGTTTTGGACAGTTCTTGGTATAAATAGTGTGTCAAAAGATTATATACCAAAAGTTTCCATAACAACATAAAGAAACAAATTTTTTTTCCCCGAAATTGAACCATGTATATACATGGTTCATTTGGTGCGTACGCCCAGTACAAGTGATTTGGTCTCTAGAGTGGATTTTTGAAACCTTATGTACGCAAGACCTACAGGCCCATGCTTAAGCATAATATAATTTTTGTCGAACTTTCTCACATGCGTATTTTGATCATTTTCAACAATTTCTCATCCCATTGACTTATCTTTAACTCCATTTGATCCTTGGCATTTTTTAATCATTGTTTTGTAATTCGACTCAACTTTTAAAGTATTCTTTTTAGTCCCTAAACTTTGTGTTTGATTCAGTCGAGTCATTTTTTTTTTT